CACCTCACCACTCTCTCTGTAAAGAATTTCCCCCTGACATCCAACCTAAATCTTCCCTTCCTCAGCTTCAAACCATTTCCCCTTGTTCTGCTGTTATCTACCCTTTCAAAGATTGACTCCCCTCCTGTTTGCAGGCTCCCTTTAGGTACTGAAAGGCTGCAATGAGGTCACTTTGCAGCCTTCTTTTCTCCAGGCTGAACATTTCTCTCTTGGTTATGCATAATGGCAAATTGTGCTGTGGAACAACCTGCCACCTTTGGAAGTAAAATGAGAAAGCATCTGTACAGAGGAGCCCCAGGATGAGTGCGTGGGGGGGAATAGCTGTTCTCAGTAAAAGGGACTATAATGATTATATTTCTAGAATGATTGAGACTAATAAATGTTGATATGAAAAAGAAATGATCCTTTTTTATTGGTCCATTGGGGCAGGCTATAATTTTTTTTATGTTCAAGCTCTGATCAGAAATTGAAGTGACATATGGAATCACAATTGAAATACAGCTCCGTGGAATACTTTGTCAGTCGGAAAAAATTGTATATGATAAAGCTGCTGAAGTTTTGGCATGGATTACTACACCATCTTGTGTGCACTGGTGAGACACATTTACGACCAGGTTTCAGCAGCCTTGTGCTCTGAATGAATGCAGAATTTCAGATAAATGCATTTCCCTTTCCTGTTCCAAATATGTTTGGGTATTCTGCAGGGTTTTTAGTAGATTGAACTGTATTCAGATAGATAGAGTCATTACTTAGCTGCTTGGAAAGATAATTCCTAAGAATGTGAAATTAAGGTAAAATTCATTCTTCTGGAAATGCAGAGCTCTTAAACCTATCAGATTTTTCAGGCTGTTTCCCCTCTCGGATCCATTACTTGTTTGAGAAGTATAAATATCCTCCCGCCTGAACAGAAATGCCCTGAGCTGGGGCTCAGGAGGCTCTGAGTTCTGTTCTCTCCTGACTGCTATCTCTATTACTGTGTGCTTTTATTTCAAATATCACAAAGTTGAGCCCTAAAGATCTCCCATCTCCATGAAGACTGTGGTTAGATGTGTTGGCTGCTAAAATCAAAACTTTGATGTTACACAGTTCTGCCTTGGGTAGCAATTTCAAATGAAATCCAGATATATTGCACGACACAAACATCTTACTTGCTTTTTTATATTGCATCTCAAGAATGTGCCCATCTAAATCAGCCCTCCAGGCTTTCTCTACATTGTAATAATACCTAGTGTAGCTTTCTTTTCAGCTTAGAACAGGCTTTCATTTTTGAAACCATTATGATGCCTCAGTTATCGCAACAAACAGATCCCACTGCTTGGACCCATTGCACATCGTGACTACAGCAGCAAAGAGCTTCTGCTGCCTTAATTCTTGAAGGTGTTTCCATCTCTTGCCATCTTGATCAGACTCCAGGCACGTGTTTAAGGAGGAAGGGCGTTCCTGTTGTCCTGGTGCTCCAAGTTTTTCCTGAAGGCTTACCCTGCCCCTCAGCTTCTCTTTGACTTCAGACCAGCTTTGACCTCTGTACCACTTTACTCCCTTTTGCGTGCCCACCTGAGGTCAGCACTGTGCTGAGACAGCACTGTTCTGTCTTCTACTGCTGGTGAAAAACCAGTGGCAGATTCCTTGGCTGCTGTAGTTGATGAGAGAACGAGTTTGTCCTGTGCACTGCCTGCCTGGGTTAGAGAAATGTAAGAGGTGTGTAGCCCTCTGACCTTTGCAGTGCTCCAACTGCAGCCCTATTAAATGGCATTTGATCCTGTTGCTTTCTGCAATTATTATTACTTGCATTAGATCTGTCCAGACACTTCACCTAATTGTTACGGACTCATTCAGAGAAAACTTGCTAACTTCAGCTACCTGTAACCTGGTCACTGAAGCACATCTTGATGCACTATTGCTAATGCTTTCTTTTGATAAAAGTTTTATTTAATTGATTGCAAAGAGTCTAGAAATTAGTTTTTTCCTGGATACGTATGACTTATTGAATTTCTTTTGTTTTTTTTTTTTTATTGATAACTGAGACCAGGCTTTAGGATGCTCATGGGATTATGGCTTAATCTGAGCATCTGCAACAGCAGGCTTTATAACGGTATTTCATTTTGAGCAGTTCTTATTTCTGATGTGAGATTCAGGCTGAGAGAGTTCAGGCTGTTCAGTTTGGAGAAGAGAAGGCATCAGGGAGCATCTAAAGGGGGGCTATGAGAAAGGAGGGGATGGACTTTTTAGTAATAGGAATAAGGGGAAATGATTTTGAACTTCAAGGGGGAAAACTTAGATTGAGAATAAGTTTTTTTTTTATGATAAAAATGTGAGGCAGTGGCACAGGTTCCCAAAGAGGTGGTAGTACCCCATGCCTGCAGACGTCCAGAGTTGGGCTGGATGGGGCTCTGAGCACCTGATGGAGCTGTGGGTGCCCCATGCAGTGCAGGGGAGTTGAACAAGAAGGCCTGTAAAGGTCTTATCCATTTGATTGCTCCCCATGCAGAACCTTGCTGTCTTCCTTGCTGTGCAGTGGCATCTCATCCTCCTGTGCCACACAAAGTTTCTTTGAGCTGGATTCAATCACCGTCACATCAAAGCCAGAGATTGGTTTGTTTCCTTGGGGGTACAAGAGGCTCCTGCTTCTGTTTGTCCCTGCATCCATGGCACAGGTTATCATTGTGTCAGTACAAGTCTGGGCTTCTTCTGACTTGGGTCAAAAACAAAACAAGAGAAATTTTTATTGCAAGTCTCTTCTTAAACTAATATTTTCTCCCTCAGAAGCTGTAATATCCAGCTGTACCTGAAGGTTTCTTTATGAAGTAGCAAGAATACAAAACAAAACAGCCTGGGAGTGCTGCTGGAGCTGCTGAGATGAACACAGAACATTGGCAGTGGCTGACTTTGAATGTGACAGGCTGAGATTGCAGAAGTGGGTTATTTTGTCCTGAGCTGTTATGATGGTTGTGCCTTAGGATCCTACCTGCGATTCAGGCTGTCTTGTATCTGTGTCTGTGTATCACCTCTGCCATACAGGGATAGGCAGATGGTCCTATTCCCAAATAGTTACCAGAAAATGGACAACAGCTGGACACAAATAGACATGAAATAGTGGAGGGAAATGCTGAAGCAGAATTGGCTGATGTGATAGAGTGTACTCTTAGGGCAGAGGCATTGCTATTGCTCTGAGTTGGCTCCTGGACCTCTGATTGTGTCTGGTAGGGCAGATAATGTCAGCAAGAAGCAGGAGAACCCCAGAAGCCAACAGAGCTCCTAATCCTCCTTCTGACCCTTCCATCTTGCTGTTAAGAGCCTTTCCCATTCCAGAGAGGCTTCAGTCCACTAGTGGTGCCTTATGGGGAGCTGTCTTTCAAAGGGACAGATATTTACAAAGGTCCTATTTATTTTTTCCTTCATGCTCTGTCAGTACGGCTCATGCCAGTCTCTCTATTCGAAGATTAAAGCGCCATGTGCTCGGTGCTATTCCAAGCTTTCCTTTTGGCAAGGAGAGAAATGCAGGCCTGTTACACTGCAATAATAGTCATCCTTATTCCCTAAGGGTGCCGTGTGTCATGTTTTAGAACCAAACATATTTCTGATTGTGTGATACCTAAATCTCCTACCCAATATTTCCCATGCTTTAGGTTTTAATAAAAGCAATTCCAAGTTGCCTGCATTCCAAACTGTGTGTAATCTCTTTATTATGCCTGGCCTGGCTTGCTGGGTACATGAATAAATCTGGCTGCGTGTCATGATGACTGTTTGTATCGCCTGACAATAACTGGAACAGAGCTAAATAAAATCAGTGTTTTCTCTTTCCTTCGATTGGACTCACCAGCAGATGGGGAATGCTGCCATTCTTTCTTTATTTTTTGGCAAGGACCTGCATAGCTGACAGACCCCTGCTATGATAGAGAGAGATGGTTCACTGAGGTTCAGGGAAGAGCTAATAATACGTCATTTACTTCTGTCGCGCTTGGAATATGGTTTGATTTGATCATTTAAAATGCTTTTTTTTTAATTTAATCTTAAAGGAACCTGCTTTATTAACTACCTCCTGGTTTGACATCTGTGCAGCAAAATGTGAGCGCTTGGAATATGCAAACTGAAATCAAAGCGTAGAATTCCCTTTGAAGCTTACAGTTTCTAGCTCTTCCCCCTCCACCCGCTTTCAATACTCAACCTGCTGTAATTTTATTTCTCTGAAATTTTCAGTGTAATTGAAAGAGTGTTGGAGGAACAAAGCAAATATTTACTTTGCACAAATGCCACTTGATGTGATTAGTTATAAGCAATCTATTTAAAAATTAATATGTGTATTAAACACATGAGCATGAGTGCATCCATGCATGGAAAAGGCAGAGGAATCAATTCTGAATGTAGTTAACCTAGAAGTTTCTATTCTCTGGAGCACAGTATTTGAGAAAGGATGTTAGATGGTCTGATCTTTGGGTATTAAAGGAACAAAAACTCCTGAAGTGTACTTCAGGAGAATAAATCTGTAAGTCTTTCAGGGACTTTTAGTCCTGTATCCTGGCTTGATGTGTGTGGTCCTGTAAGGAACCTCCTTTTTAAGCCAGCTTTAGGGGCCTAATGTTCACCAGTAGACAGATCTGTACAATTCTTTATGGAGTTATAAACATCCAGGTGGTTTATTAGGTAACTTACAGTTTCCCATTGGATTATAGGAGTTTGTGGTCTTGGTTCTGCCTAGTGCTTACGAGCTGCTGGGACAAATTGCCTGCTTGAACAGGGAGAGGAGGGATGGAGCTGCAATACCTCGGTGCAGTGCAAATTAGGCTGCTATTTCTTGTTCAGGTCTATGTCTGCAATCAGCATAGAGTACTTTATATTCTTGTGCCACTCAGTCTTTGTGGTACAAGGAGTGGTGAAGCCGCAGCACTGGAGAAAAACATATGGGATGGATTCACAGCCCTGACTTGACCTCATCTCTGTGCTTTTGGATGGCTGATGTAACACAATGGTAACGACACCTTCCTGAAATCTTATGTGACCCATAGAAGTCCTTGGAAAGGAAGAAACAGCGGGACAGACAGCTAATTGGATAAACTTCAACATTTGATCAGCAACTGAAACGGATGGTTTTTTGTGAACTGTCATGATATATTTCTTATTTCAGAGTGATTCTTTTAGGGGTTCCTCAAAATTTCTTTCTCTTTAGCTGCAGGGATTTGGGAAAAAGATGGACTTAGGTTGAGCACTGTTTCATAAGTTTGGTTGGAAAGTCCTCAAGAGATGTGTGGGTAGTACGAAAATAGAGTTGGACTGTTCTCAGTGTTCCACCAGGAGGAAATTGAAAGGTCAAGGTACGAATCTCACTCTCTACTTTCGAATACCAAAGTGACTCTTTGGTTTGTAGGCTCCCTTGTGGGTGGTGGGTGAGGGAAGGGATTCCTGTGCACAATGTTTGTCACAATGAAGCAAATGCTGGAAGTGCTCAAATGCACATCTAGAGGCTGTCATCTTTCGGAAACACCCAAGGGGGTTATTTGCTTGTGTGCAAATGTTAACATTTCCTGAAGCCTGCATTCCTCTGCCCCATACCTGCTAAAGACAGACATCCTATTGCAGCTGTGGTTCACCAGGGAAACAGACACATGTTTTGTATAGTTTTCCCTATAATCCTTACCACTATCTTCACAGCATGGAGTGGCTTTTGTGGAACTGATGCAAGAGTCAAGATTTGCCAAACTCAATCCGTCAGTTACAGTAGAAAATAACACTTAATCCACAATATTAAACCAGATTTCATGTTGTTACTGGGGAGAGGTGCTGGAAATGACTGGATTGAAAGGGTACCTTAACAAAATCGTAGAGCACAGAGGAGCCATGTAGTGTTTTTGTAACGGATGCCTCTTTTTCATATGATCCTCTTTTAATGTGGCTTTGAAAATTTCCCAGCAGCATAGTATTATTTAGCTTTGCTTTAAATGTTAAAACACTTTCTTTTCCCCCTCCCACCCAAAAGGAGACCTTTATATGAAATTAATGCACAAAATCACGAGTAAAGGACCATTAAGCAAGTATAATGCTGAAGGTAAAGGTATTCTTTGAACATTGTTTCCATTATTCAGAATACATGAAGTTTCAGTCCAGACAGAAATGAAAGACTATTGAGGAAACTTTGCAAATACCTGAAAATCTTGTTAACTGTATGGTAGTTAAGGAAGAAGGGAAAATTAAAGGAAAACAGCTGAGAGGTGTTGCCAGTGGAAGTGGTATAGCCACGATCATGTCTTAATCACAGGTGTTTGCAAAAGTTCATCAGTAGTCATTAATTCAGCACTGAACTTTTAAAATGTTTTTTCCTTTGATACATCAAGCGGAAAGGAATAACACACTCTTGACAGCACAACAGAACTTTGTGTATTTCCCATTAATAGCAACACACGAGGTAGTATTTCCCCCTCAAGATGAAATCATGCCATTGTGTCTCATGGCAAACAGTTTCTTACTGCTACAGGATTGTTAAGATTTTACAAATCTCATGCCCACTGATTTTGCAGATAAGGTAATTAGTGAGATACAGAAGTGTAGCCTTATGTGCCACAGAGCTGATTGTTCAATTACTGTTTCCTACGGGCTTTGTTCTATCAGTTTTCAGAGTATTTCTGGCCTCCTCTTGGTTGCTGGTGCAGTTGCCCTTTGTTCTCAAAAAACCTCCTTACCAGGTGCTCTAGGCAGCAGTCTGATTTCACTACATTTCCTGGAGCTGAGTATGTTTTCCTTACTCAGTCTGACTGTTGCAGTGCTTAAAAATCAGATAAGGGCCTTCAGAAAAGAGCCTCTTCCAGGGGCTCTTGTTTGAACCTTGGACACTTTTTCTTGCACATAAACGTGGACACGCAGGGCTGGTTCTATGGAATTTCAACCTTAAGCCTTTGTGTACTGGCTGTCCATAAACCACAGCAAAGCATCCTCTTCTCTGGGTACAGCTTTCCTGCATGTTTTTCCACTGGTTTTATAGAGAGGGGATACAATTTGCTCTTCTTCCTAGTGGGCCTATTCGTGCATTCTTCCATGACTGGTTTATGGTAGCTGTCTTATTTTTTTTATGCTGTGATGGTTAATAATTCCCCTCTCCATTTTTTTTTTTTTAATTGATTTCAGTTTTTGCCACTGTTTTGCATTGATGGAGAAGAAAATACAATAAAGAGGTGGAGGTGATAAATCAGAGATGGCTTTTTTAATTGCCTACACATAATAAGGATTCCTGGCCCTATGTAGTGTGTTCTTAATCTGTCCTTACAATATATGCATGTTGCTCACTTAAATGGATTTCAGCTAAAGTAGAATTCTCTAATTAGACAATAATATTGCAAAAATTGACCATTATCTCCAGTTATTGAATTTTCAGGCAGCCTGTATCAGTACCCATGCTTCTATCAGCTGGTTGTTAAACATGCAAGTAATACATCCAGAGGTTATTGTTCAAAACTATTCTCAATAGCCTAATAGCTTTTTAATTTTTAAAAGTAGCTTATATTCATCAGCAGGAGCACAGGGCAGATTGACTCAAGCAGCTCAGTTATTTTGTCCTTCTAAGCTAATTAGAGGTTGTATTCTGATCTGATATGGGTGGGGAAGCTGTGATTTAATTATTTATTTTGATAATCTTACAAGCAGTATTCCATGCATTTGAGCCCATGAGTTAAGGATGTGGGATTCAGCGCTCGAGTGTCCAGACACAGAGAAGATAGGAGGGAAAAGATTTCTTCTCAGATGTCTCTTAAGAGCACTGACTCCAGCTGCGACCAGAGCGTGGGGTAAGCATGGGCTCTGCTGTTATCCAGCAGCTCCCCTGTTGTAGGACTGGGAGGCTGTGCTACGCAGGAGAATGAATGATAGGAGCCTGTAATACCTTCTCAAACATTCAGACTCCTTTTCTCTGGTAAACTGTCCCACAGCTCCCATGCACATTGTGCAGCATCAGACAGCACGCAGGGTAAGAAGCTTCCCATAGGATGTCACCAACACAGGCAAAAAGGTATGGTTGAATTGATTATAAGCATTGATTGTTTTCTTTAATTACTTCCTGTGCAGGAAATAGTTTTCATTTGGCAGATCTGGGCCACAGGACTGGAAAAAACATTTGAACAGCTCATGCTACATGATTAGATCCCGCAAGTCTACATGCATTCTGCTTTTGAATGGTCTTCTGAGGCTTGGTGCTTCTGTTGACCTGTTGCTGGAGTATTGCTCAAACACTGATAAATTAATGTCTTTGTAAGTCAGAGGTGTATGAGTATGGAGAATGGAACAGTTTATATGTAAAGTCTGTTTGGGAGGTGTGCGGTGTTTGTATGGGGATAACACAGAGAGGAAGTTAGTATATTAGCCAGTGAGAATGCTCAACAAATACTGATTATTGAGTCCGAATTAGGAAAAGATGTGTGGACATCTTTTGAAGCTAATAGCCATGCTGAAGGGAAGTCACTGTGCAGATTAGCAGTCAAGCTCAAATGTGTGCTCTATTGCTAGGCCAGGGATCAGTCCTTTCCTTATGGTATTCTGCACTTAAATAAATTGAAGTCAGCTCTGGAGTTATAAATTTACCTTTTTCTCCCAAGTTTTGTTTCTTTGTCATCCTTTCCAGGTCAGCTTTTAGAGCAAAGCACAGCAAGAATATCAGCAAACTAGGGGTATAAAGATTTGTGTGCATCCAGCTGTTCAGTACTAGCACAAAGCTGGCTGTAAGCACAGAACATGTATCCAAAAGGAGCAGGGCAGATCCTGGAGCAGTGTGTTGGTGCAGTGAGCAGGGCTGGTGTGCCCAGCATGGGACACCATGCTGATTCTGTCCCTCTGTGTCCTGGTGGAGAAGGAGATCTCTGCAGAGGTCCGTGCTGAGCAATGATAAATGTGTTCCAGGACTGAACTCACTGCATTGCTATGCTTGTGTGAAATTGGCAATTATAAATATTTTCAAAATATTGATGTGATAGGAGACAGATGTGTTCCAATCAGTTAAATTTTCTGTGAAAAAAATAAACCACTTAATGGAAGTGCAGTGGCTAAAAGTTTGTGTTTTCAATGCATCTTTTCCGTCTCCGAAAGGAAAGTGATTGACTAGATGTACTTTGTTTTTCGTGCAGAAATCCCAGTCGAATTTGAAATGAATTCACATGTGAAGGAAGGTTGGTTCGGTCCACCTTTCCGTATCTGGTTACAGTTTGCTCTCAGAGTATGTATAATCATTTGCTGGGAATGTTCTCATTTGTAGGAGTACGTACTACAATCTGTGCCAGTTTAAGCTTAAGTACTGTCCAAGGACTTGGGGAGGATTGTTGTGAAATACAAGAAGAACAAGAAAGCTTTGTTTTTCCAGCATCTGAAAGGATAATAAAATTCTTTCCTTCTTTGATTTTAATTTGTTTGGTATAGAAGAAACTTTCAGCTTTCATGTAACAGATGTGATTTGGCAGTGGTCTTCACGATGGGGCTGAGGCTCTGATGTCTGCATGCTGGTTGTGCAGCCCAGAGAAATAGGCACGTGCACATGAGGCTGGATGCACAGTGACCAGCAGGCTTACTACCATGCAGTTCTTAGTCTAGAAAGTGCTCAACCATTTCACAATAAGTCAACAGCTACTGACTTTCTATTGCAAACACAGCTTGTTGCCTTCCAGCTTCAAAACCAGAAGGCGTGGGGTCAGATTTGCTTACTGCTAGAAGGCTTCTAAGGAACTGGAGACTTTAGAAGCTGTGATGTTCAAAATTGAAGGCAGTCTGACCTTGCAAACTTGGCATATGAATGTGCTAGTCTGTGAGTTTAGGAGACAGGGTTTCTTTATCCCTGTATTTCCATGGCCTGCTGGGTTGACTGCAGAGGAGCTATGAGGAAATGAAGTAGTTTTCCAATGGAAAGCTGCCTGTTTTTCATCAGAATTTTGGCCAAATTAATCAACTAAGATGTTTTGATTTGTTTTGTCTGGTGGAATGTGTTTTGTTGGAAAGTTTCTGAATGGCCACAAGCACCCGTGTTGTTCTGGTGGTGATTGTTTCAACTTGCTTAAGGTGGTCTGGATAATACAGATATCACAACTGCCATCTTCAATCACAAGAGAATAATCTTTTAAAAAATCTATAATGCAGATTATGAAATGAGATGTGACTGCAAATCAGAAGAAATATACTGGAAACTGTTTTATTATGTCTCATATGCAAGTGATTTATGTAGCACTGACTTTTAGTTAAGTTCATAAGTATAAGGACCTGCACAAACCTGTATGAGAGGATATTTACTGTGTCCAGTTTTGGGCCCCTCACTGCAAGAAAGATATTGAGGCCCTGGAACGTGTTCAAAGGAGGGCAACAAAGATGGTGAGGGGTCTGGAACACAGGGCTGATGAGGAGAGGCTGAAGGAGCTGGGAATGTTCAGCCTGGAGAAGAGGAGCTCAGGGGAGACCTCACTGTTCTCTATAACTTCCTGAAGGGAGGCTGTAGTGAGCTGGGGGTCGGCCTCTTCTCTCGTGTCATCAGTGATAGGAGCAGAGGGAATGGTTTCAAGCTACGGCAGGGGAGATTCAGGCTGGACATGAGGAAGTATTACTTTTCAGAAAGGGTGGTCAGGCACTGGAATGGATGCCCAGGGAGGTGGTGGAGTCACCGGCCCTGGGGGTGTTCAAGGAAAGGCTGGATGTTGTGTTGAGGGACATGGTTTAGTGGCAGCTGTTGGGAATAGGTGAACGGTTGGACTGGGTGATCTTTTAGGTCTTTTCCAACCTTGGTGACTCTATGATTCTATGATATCTACAATGAAACTTCCAGGCAGCAGAAGTCTTTTCTTCTTGGCCTTAGCATGAGACCAAGTCTCCTGTTATTTTTTGCATTGTTTTCCTGTCCATTAATGCTCTTTATTTTGTATTTCTTGAGAATATCCCACGAGTTCCAATCTCACTTGCTGGTGCAGAAGTACTAACTGTTGTACTCAGTGTGCAATTTAAATGAAGCCCACCACTTCTTCTCATCTTTGGGAGAGAAAGATTATCGGAACAGAGGTCAGTGATCCAGATATGAACAGTGGCTAGCTGCCTTCCAAGGGCTTACCATGTCTATGAAAGTGTACTGGCACAGGAGAAGTATTGGAGGTCTTTGGATTCATGCCCAGGCAGATGCTTTGGTGAAAGCTGCAGGGAATGGAGTCTGCAGAAATGGAGTCTAAAATGGCTCTGAGTTAGGAACAGCAGCTGCAGAAAACGTGGCCCAGGGAGAAAATGGAAATCAAGACATGCAGGTGTGCAGTGTTGAAAGAGTTTTGCCCTGCAGAATTCAGTTAACAGTTCAACAAAGGCTGCATGAACCAGACAAGATTCCAGCTCTGTCTAGACTCCAGAGACATGACATATGATAAAAAGCAATAAAAATTTTACCATAAGAATAAAGACGGGTGGCTGAGTATGCACTGTGCTGAGACATGTCTAATCAGGAGGAGTGTTTGTACACATCTGCAGGGGTAGAGGCTCTTCATCCTGGTGTAGGCAGCCAGCCCTTCAGAGTCTTCAGTGCATAAGCTTTTTATGCCTGCAGGAAGAACTGAAATGTACATTAAGCTCTGGAAGATTTCCACAAGTTTCACAAACATTCAAGGAGATTTGATTGCTTTATCACTTGAAGGAACAGTAATACATGAATCAAATGTGCCCAAACAGTACTTCATGAAGTTTGTTTCCAGATGCTGATTGAATTTCATGTGCGGTCTATGAGTCAGGTCCTGGTCAAGTCCATAGGTTTCATTCATTGCTCATGGGCACAATATGCACCCTTATGGAGAATAATGTGTGTACTGTCACGTTAGTCAAGTCACTTATTAAGGAAAAGGATTGCTGGGTGAGGTTGGTAGAGCTCACTGCTGCAGTGGTGGAATTACCCAAGTTCACTTCACGTGCTCATATTTATAATGCACTTACCAGAGCACAGCCACGTGAAGAATCATCCTGCAGTGGTTTTGATCTGCTCCTGAGAATATCCCTGGGTGGTGAATGAGCTTGCAAGTAGGCCTCCAAGGAACACTCTGCAGCTGTGGTGAGTTATTATATCCTTGTTGATTTGTAACCCGAAATCTATATCCCACCGAGTCTTGCTGTGTAGCCATCATCTCTTTAACTTGGGATTATTGATTGTATTATAATGCTCACTTTGTACTCTGCACAGCCAGAGTACTGATTAGGCTTTTATTCATGTTGCCCCTTAGAAAGGTTATTTATGTGGGACTATTTCCAGCATCAATGCCAATTGGAAAACAAAATGTTTTATCTTTAATTATTTATTGAATAATCCTTATGCAAAAGAAGTTGCTCGCTCAGATAAAACACTCATTCAAGAGGACGTCTTGCCCTTTCTATTTACTTTATTTATGTTGGTGCATTGTCTTCACATGAAGGAAACATCAAACTAAGAAGGTTTCACCCATGGTTAGTTATGCAAAGCTCGTTCTGCTCATAAATTCACTGATCTAGGTTTGTGGAAGAACATTTTTTTAACCATAATAAATGTTCTCATAATGTTGTGCTGTCACACGTGCTGTTATCATTTTAGGCATGTGAGACACACATCCCTGTTTATGACTTTAAATTTTCCTTCTGTGTATTCACATCATAGAAACAAGCTCTGTTTCCAGGCCGATTGTTCCACTTTATAGATTATTACCAAAAACAGACTTTACTACAGAATACTGCTACCATCAGGATTCTGATTTCCAAACTGCAGTACCAGCAGTAGGAACAATCAGTTGTATCGTTTTGCAGGAATATTTTATTGTATTATATTTTATAATATATGATATATCTATGATATGCCAATTGCTTTGGCAGTAATACTTGAATTTTTTTCCTTTGTACCAACCTGTTTCATCAAACAGGACTCGTTAGGTCTTCTTTTTGAAGGAATTCTTGGGAGGAAGGAAGTCATTCGGTTTGTTTTCCACCGATTTCCCAGGTTGCCCTCAGAACATAAATAAATGTGTCTGTATGTTTGCTCAGTACATTATAACTTTGAATCAAGTAGAAAAAATATTTATTTTGTGCAATGGCTAAATGAATTAATTTTCATTTTCAGAAGCTGGAATAACTGAAATGCTTCACAGACTCCAATTCAAGTGTACAGGTAATTATTCATTTAACAAATTGCTATTGTGTGTTGTTTTTTTGGTGGTTTATTTTCCCCTCCAAGTAGGCCTACCACCCCTGCTTTTTCCAGACATAGCTGTCATCTCTAGTTTTACATGGAAAGACAAAATTTATTGCCCAATCCTGTTTTCAAATCTGGATGCAGAACATTAGAAACAAAGAGGTTGCTCAGCTTGGAACCATTTATGGTATTTGTATCCTTCTTGTAGACAGTGTTTTCTATTGAAAATTAATTCCTTAAATGACTGAAAAATTGAATACAAGCTAGTTGGTTTTTTTTTTCCTTTATCTTCATAATGTTGGAAAGGCAGAAGATACGGACATGAACTGAGAGCAGATCAAAGTGCAGAATTTCTGCTTCATTTTCATACCATGCATAACAAAATCCATAAAGTGAGCCTCGGGAGTCAGACTCAAGGGCCTCTTGATTAAGAATTAAATTACAGGTATGATTTACTAAATTTGTGCTTGGGGAAAGGAGCTTTTTGATGATGATGTGATTGGTAAACTACGTATTTCCTCAGCACCATATTAAAATTAATAGGAATTGCATAACTGTACATGCAAAGTAATTCACGAATCTTAAAAAAAAATATTATCTGGTGTGTTAAGCCACACAACTGAAATCCTGTGTCTCTTAGTCCTTTACTAAAACCCAAGGGGAGTGTTGAACTGGCACCCACTCTTTTGAGGCTGAAACGTCTTCTGTTCTAACAGGAGATGTAGTCAGAGGAGCTTTCATGTCAGCTCCTGTCTGATTTTGTTTGATTTTGCTTGCATTAGGTTTCATACAGTTGTTTTAAAACATTGAAAAGTAGAGCTATTTGAAGGCATTTCAAGGGTTATGTGCTTTTATTAGGCTAAGATAAATTCCTTTTACATTGCTTTTGAAATTGCTTGAAATTATTCTTAATGTATCTTTCTTGCATAAGTGTTGGCTTAGTGGGATCCTTAGCCATGTTTTCGGTTCCAAGAAGCTGTTGTATACAAACAACATTCGAAAACAAAGTTTGGAAGGAGAAATAATACCTTTACTTCATACTCAAGTGGATGTAGAGAGGAGAGTTACGTGGTGTGACAGTCCTGTGCTGCAGCCTAGGTATGAGGACCCATCTGTGTGAATCATGCCCAGCTTGTAGCTTTGGGGCAGCATTGATATGGCAGCACTGCTGCTTTGTGTAATGCAGACTGGTGTGGGACATCACAAAACACCTATGTCATCCTGTGCTGTTGTATGAATAAATCAACAGGACTTTTGATCAGCCTGCAGAGTGCAGTTTCTGCTCTTCCATTATTGTTTGGCTGTCTCAAGACAGGCAAGTTAGCCCAGTGTTTTTCACAACCCCAAATAATTGGTATTCCCCCTTCCATGGATACAGATAGGAATTCAGTGTGAGGAGATGGGAATGGTCAGCATCGGGTTTTTCAGTATTCTGAGGTCATGTTCATTTCTCTGATGCAGGAGAGGCCCTCTTGCTTGCTGCTGCCAGCATTTCAGAGTTTGTTTTGTTGTCATTGCAGCTTTGCAGCTTTTGTCCAAGAGCAGCAGAACGTAGAACTTTTTGTCCAATGGAAAAAGTTCTTGATTGATTTCCACCTCACACCAGGGCTTCCTCACCTGCAGACCCAGGATTCATTAAGGAGGGAGCTCTCAGTCAGAGCGAGAGCAAAGAAACACGAAAGGCTGCTTTCTTCTAACATAAAACGAAGCACATCATTAAAATAAACAAAATAACATGAACCGTAAGGTCTTTCTGCTGTTGTTTTCAGAACTGTGAAGGGATTTTGGAATCTCTAAGATCTAATCTGGGTTTCAGTAGGGCATTAGCTACAGAGCCGTGTGGGAAATTATTAGTTCAGCTGGAAGCTGGTACAAGGAAGCAGCTGAAAATCAGCCCCATTTTGTGATGGTGAGGGAAATACTGGGCTGGGGGGAGGTCAGGCTGAAGTGCCCACAGAACAATGAGTGACTAACTTTAATTATGATAAGAGTCAGTTTGAATTTGTTAATGTTACTGATGATGTGGTGTTGGGGAGCTCTATCAAACAGAGCAAAGGAACACAATATCATAGTAGAAGTGGTGGGTAGTTTAATGGATTGAAATTATAGACTATTAAATTTATTAGTAGAATATTCAAGTGAGTAATTAGGGGCTAGTAATTAGAATTCCATTCTTTTAACACAAAGCTTGTAATTTTGAAGTAACTGTAAGGAAAACCAAAACAATTCTACAGTGAGTTTTACATATCACAAGTGTGATGGAACAATCTTATCTGTGCCTGGAAAATGATGATAAATCTGGTCCCCTGCGTTCAAAAAGAAATGAAATAATACCAAAGCAGCCTCAGGGGACGATAGCAGGAGGATCAGGTAGTTTGACTTGTGAGCTGCAGCTGGAAGACTGAGCTTGATCTACTTTTCAGAATGAGGACGGAAGCAGGGTATGGCACACATGCTGTGTGATCGCACTGAAGATGTTCTGCTCTGTAACCTTCCCTGATACCGAGGTCAAGGCTGACAGGCCTGTAGCTCCCTTGATCCTCCTCCTGACCCTTCCTGTAGGTAGGTGTCACATCAGCAAGTCTCCAGTTGTCTGGGACCTCCCCATTTGACCAGGAACTCTGATGGATGATGGAAAGTGGCCTGGCAAGCACTTCCACCAGCTTCCTCAGTACCCTTGGGTGGATCCCATCTGCCCCCCTACATTTACTGCAGTCTTGGAGAAGTAGCAGGCTGCTGTTTCCTCCTGAATAGAGGTGGATTTGTTCTGCTTCTCATCCCAGACTTCCAGGGCAGGAGATAGATTACCCTGAGGATAACTGTGGTCTGGCTGTTAAAGATAGATGTACAGAAGGCATTGAGTACCTCAGCCTTTTCCTCATCCTTGGAGGCAACATTCCCTGCTACGTTTAATAAAGGATGGAGATTCTCCTTGGCCCTCCTTTTATTGTTAATATATCTGTAAAAACATATATATATTTTTTTATTTTTACAGTGGTGGCCAGATTAAGTTCTAGCTGGTCTCTTGCTCTTCTAATTCTCTTTCTGCATATCTTAGCAAAATCCTTCTATTCTCCTTGAGTTGCCCACCCCTTCTTCCAAAGATCATAAACTCTTTTTTTTTCTCCTGAGTCTCAGCAGAAATTCCCTGTTCAGCCACTGCAGTCTTCTCCCCTGCCAGCTCCTTGTAGAATCTGCCTCTTCATCCTAATTGGGTGACCTATAACAGACTCCCACCGGGATCCCAGCCTTGTTGACCCTCCCCTCGATCCTTACCCTGAGGGACTCAATCTTATCATTTGCAACACTTCAACATCAAAACCCTCCGTAACATTCAGAGCTTCTCCACTGCCTCTCCTTTCTTGCCTGACCTTTCTGAAGTGCTTATAGCCATCCTTTGGACATGACTGTGATTCTACCATGTTTTGCTAATGGTGACTATGTCATAATTTTCCTGTTGCACACCAGCTCCTCCTATCTGTTGCTCACACTGCATGCTTTGGTGGAGATGCACTTCAGCTGGGCTGTTGATCTCACCTGCCATCACTGAATAATAAACTGAAACGTGTCTGGCCTTATGGAGCCATCAAGAATTGTTGTCTATGAATGTGCAATTGAAGGATGACTTTTTATTATCAGCTGTAAATATTTAAATTGTAGGACTTGAAGTTAGATACAAGTACACTACTGCAGATATCCATAATGCTTTGTGTTTAAGCTGCTACTATAATGAAATTTCTTGTTAATTCTGCTCCACAGCATTTGAAACTGAGACAAAACAGTTATGGGAAACAGCAACTGAAGAGCACTAATTAAGACTCAGAGTGCTTTCAATAAACTTGTGTTGCAATGAACAAATTAACTGACAAGGGAAAAAGACAATATTGCCCTCAGGGGAATGTGCTGACATAGAGATAACTCGAAGTAGTTCAGTAGTCTTTTGATTCAGAAGAAATATGAGTCTGATTTGGTAGCATTTACTCTTGTTGTATCAGAAGGAATAGCACAAAAATGTCATCACATAGAAGACAAAAAATGTCGAACTATGGAGAATGCATGTAAGAAAGCAAGTAAAAAGCTTAAGTAAGCAGTTATTCCTACTGCCTGCCTTAGCTGTAGTGCATGAGAACAGAGGTGGTTGCAGCTGGTATGCAAGGAGTGGGCCTTTCATATTTCAGGGTCAGGGTATGCTGTGAAGCTCCATATGTAGTCAGTTTTACAGCTGGTTTTAAAATACAAAGCCTTTTTCTCTTGAAGGTGTCATTACCCCCCCAAAAAAGGAGCACCTGAGAATCCCTGAAGCCACTGACCAATACAAAAAATGCTACATGGAGGGACAGAGCCAGTAGTTTCAGCAGTAGCAGCAGCAGAAGTGAAAGGTATTCAAGAATTTATTCTTTATAATATTTAGGTGGTTTGTCTACTTGGCTCTATGGAATGATGTAAAATTTGCATGTTGTTGCAGCTTTGATTTTTGACCCACGTTGTCACAAACATTGTTGGGGGATTGGGGATTTTTTTCCCAATCTTGGTCATGCTAGAGCATAGATTTCTTCATATGAATATTTGGGTGTTAAGTGATGCATCCTCTCCATTACCCTGTAACTGTGATTAACTGAAAAGCACTGAACTCTTTGGGATGAAAATGGTGGGAAGGAGGAGCAGAGGTTGCATTGCAGAGGCTGGTTTGCTTCTGCAGTGAGCGCTCAATCCACACAGCTCCCATTCTGCTCACACAACTTTCTGTTTCTCATTTTTTTTCCCAAAGCCCATAACTTGAGGTCATTTCAGGATTAATTGATGCTAATATCTTTACTTCAAAGCAGCACAAGATCAAGCCAAATGTACATGCTTAGCAATTAAAGATTTGGCAAGGTATTATGGATTGCCTTCTACAGCAGCAGCTTTCTGCCTGTGCTGTTCTACTTGTTCAGGCCTTTGATATGACTTCAGAGCACAACTAGGGAGGCCCATGTTATTTTTGTTGTTTTTTCTTAAAAAAAGGAGCATTTTAGCACTGTATTCTGCAGAGATTGACCGTTCTGTTACAGATAATATTTTTAACTGTCTGTAAAATTGGAATGATTAGGAATCTGTAGTCTGACCAGCTACTGGAGAATTCTGTGGATAATGAAGAAAATTGCAGGGGGCAAATTGAAAGATTTCTCTTTCATATTGTGGAGTATCATTATTCCTTTAGTGCTAACAAAGATGAAGCCAATTTAGTATAAATCTTCAAAGCAACATGTGTGAATTTATCTGTCCAGTGCTCATTACAGTTAATGGGAATCATGTGGCTGGAACTTTGCAAGTGCTTTGAAAAGGCTCCTTTTATGGTTACATCATAGACCCCCGTGTTAGCTGTTGTGCTGTTGTTTTTATATTGCTCCATTTGTTTTCTTGACATTAAAAAAGCCAAAACAGTAAATTAATTAAAAACTGCATTATCCCCTCTGGTGTTAAATAGACTAAAATACTCATTTTCAAAAGTAAGTAGAATATACTTAAATCAACTTGGCACAACATAGCTCTCTATCGTTTTGAATCCCTGTAGTGTTGGACGTGCTGTTTGTTGCACGCTGATTAAAGTGAACTTAGCTGGGAAGTCAAAATGTTGACCCAGATACACCCGTGTGAATTTTACTCCCACTGTACTGTTAACCACCATGTGTGGTGTGGGATTTATATTGGTTTTTAATCTCTAGGAATTATTTGGGTAATCTGCTTAGGGAAGAAGAAAGACGTAACAACAGGATCTTATTTATGTTAGACAGGTAATGAGCATAGAAGTGTACCCACACACGAGAATGAGCAAAGTGTTGGAGGTTTAGTCTTAATTAATGCTTTGATTGCTCTCCTCTTAACATATATGAATAGCCATATACATTATTACAGAAAGAAGTACATTTTTTCCCCACTGGCAGTTTGGATAGGCTAGAGAAAAAAATCACAAAATAATTTGAAACATGAGAATAATAAAACATTTTCAGTCCAGCGTAGATTGAAACACCCCAGGTTGCAGGTGAAGGAGATGCTGTGCTTTAGGAGTTACTTAATGAGACAGTCTGAGGTCTCTGCCCAGGGGTGGGCTGTATGTGCAGCCTTCTGTTGCTCTCACTGCCTTCTTTGCTAGGAGCCATGAGTGAAATACCTTACAAATCCTCCTTGGATGCAAAATACTCTGAGTTTCTTTTTGTGATCCTTGTGCCTGTATTGGGCATCATGTTTCAGCTTCCTTGTGATAAGACATGAGAGACGAGGGTTGTACGTCTCCCTTCCTTTAAACCCAGGCTTAATCCACAACATTTGTGCAGGAGCCCAGATTTTTGAGAAGTTTCACTTGATCACTTGATCTTCTTTGCATCAGGCCTGGCAAAAGTCGAGACCAAGTGTCAGAGGGTGGCCTCAGGCCACTCAGCTCAGTTGGTGACTTTTGCCAGCACCCTGTGTTGTCCTTGTTATTCTCAAGGACAAGACAGTTTTTTTCCCTTGTCTTTGTTTTCCCTCAGTCCGAAGCAAGCTTGCAGGCCATCGTTTAGCATTGAGCCCTGCAAGAGATCTAAAGTGGGAGGATATTTTCCCGTCTGCACAGAAACCTAGTGAAGCCATCCAGGATGCAGAAAGAGCAGTGCTAATCAGGTCCTCAAGAGAGTCAGGGAACAGGCAGAGCTAAGTCTGCAGTCTGATTGTTTTACTTTC